AACAAGCATACTTCATCGCACAAGGAAGACAAGCGTGGCAGAAACAAGAGTAGTTTGGCACATAAAAGTATGGAAGATTTTGAAGGTACTGCTAAACAAAACAAAATTAGAAAGATGAGAAATACGTATTAGAAACACCACTGTGCTATAGTTTATCATATTGCATTAACCTGTTAGCAAAATCCATTGCATTTATAACTCGCAAAACCCTCAATCTGAAACTCAATTTTATTTCTAACGTCCAGATAAGTACTGTCGGCTAATCGTGCAGTAGCTTAAGCTTTTCGCTGCAGTACGTGTTCCAGCGCCATTTCTATCAAAACAACTCTTACTGTGTAAGCTACTCGCCAAAGGCACCGCCATTTATAGTCAAGAAGAAATCATTTATTGATGAAATTTGACTGGCCCAGTGCCGTTTCAAAAACACCACAAAAGAACAGTGACAGAGAATTAAAAGTGCATCACCGGAGTCATAAAGGAATGTCACAAGGAACAAGATACAATCAGACGATATCACAGGAATAAAGCTAGCATAAACAGTGTATACAATATTTTCAACACTATGATGCATCAGTATGGAGGGTGCCAAGGGAAATCAATGAATGTTGAAATAGCTGAGTGGAGAGCATTGTACAGCGTTCGAGACGCGTCCTCTAATAAACATTTTGATTTTAGACTCACTGACTCCTCCGTCATCATCGAGTATCGAGTTATCGTCCTGTAACTCCAGGAGATGAAAGAGGAAACGACCGGAACTAACCTTAAGTAAGGTACACAACGCAAGCCTGGAAAACATATCACGAATTGGTGAGATGTACACGGCTGCATAACCAACGACTAACGAAGCAGGGCCCATGAACACTGGAGGTATCTCTTGAACCAGAATTTCGCTGGTGACGACGAAGCAGTGAAGACGATGGGAGGCTGTGGCACAATTAAAACATATGTTTGTGTTTCGAAACCAGCAGATACTCACGGTAAGCCAATTACCTACTTTTATTAGGCGCTGTCTAAACACTAGCCCTGTCAGCCCAAAGAGGCTAAGGCCGAAGAGCACCAGACGTAATCGGGACAGTCGTATTTTAATTTCCATACAAACAAATGAATACCACTGCAATGAAAAGGATGCCTTAGACTAAACACAGCATTAAAAAATTGATATAATGCCTCATTGATGGTGCAGAAACAAAGATCAATACAAAACGAAAAATTGCAAATAAATCCTAAAGCATTCATAATTACAAAAATTTGATAACCATCGATAGCACAGCGGGAACGTATTTTTCTTCCCTTCGTGAAACAATACTTGGTAATCTTAAACATCAGCAGTGAACAGCGTCATCATGGTTACCCATTTGTTCTGCGTTCTGCCGGGTCAGTAACTGAATAGTTTATCAGTGTATTGCCATTGCCCGTGCCAATCCAATATATATCTGATTAAGGTGTAATGATGAATACTGCTTTTTTTCAGCAGAGATAGGAATCGGTACCGTACAAATTAAATTCACCTCTACTGTCTTAAGCTAACTGAAATGCTGCTCATGTTTTGCCCTACCAGATGTTCGGTGGTGGATGAAGTTCCATATTCCCAGGCAAATAATGGAAAGCACTCGACTGCACCTACGCAAGCACTGAACAATATCTAAAAAATTTCTGAACTACAGCTCCAACTACATTCCAATCAGATAACTAAATAAAAATTATTCACCTTCTTAAGGAAAAAATAACTTAACCGCTAAACTAACATCACAATCAAAAAAAATCAAATTTTCGAAAAATTGCTCTATTCAGTTTAGAAGAAGCAGATACGTTTCCAAGGAGATCCTGAACTTTTCTTATTCGGTGCTAATTCCATTGAGAAACAAATTAACCAACGGTGCGCTGCGATACTACTTGAAGAAAAACGGGTAGAAAACCGTTCACCTTCCAAAACAGGGGCAGTGCAGGATGTTGCCATGCTCAGGCAGCGGGTGCGAGACTTACTGACTAGTGGCTATGATATGACTGTGCCTTATGACTTCAATTTCCCTCGGTTCACCTAACAATTAATTACAACCCCGTCAACATAACGAGTAACCCGTAAATCAAAATGGAATTCAACGACTGCACTTTATCTTTGTAGTCAGTCATATCAAAGACAGCACAGTTGTTCATTTATACACAATGTCAGCTGGTTTGCTATGGCTCCATCACTCGATACATCATTGTGCTGTCTATGAATAAATCATTGTGCATAGCCTTTCTTTAAACTCAACTACTTAGAATTAGTTGAGGGTATTTGAAGGTAACCATCTTTTAGTAAGAATCAGCCTTCTGCATTCTCGCTTACTGCCTCGAAACAGTGTATTCCTGGAATGCGACCGTCACAACAAATCACGTCTAACATCCAATATCTATCACG